GCTGTACGCGGGCCTCTCACTGTTGGGGCCTCTCCCGTTGCGGAGCACAGGCTCCAGACACGCAGGCTCAGCGGCCATGGCTCACGGGCCCAGCCGCTCCACAGCATGTGGCATCTTACCGGACCGGGGCACGAACCCGTATTCCCTGCATCGGCAGGCGGACTCCCAACCACTGCGCCACCAGGGAAGCCCGGTCATCTGCTTTTTAAGCAAAAAGGGCTTTGTGTTCATCAGGAATTCTACTGAAGCAGATTATTAAGAGCTTTAAAAAAAAGTTTGGTTGCCAGAGGTTTAAACATGCTACTTCTTTGTTACTCTTGTCCCTCCCTCTGGTGTCCAGACCTCTGCTGATGGGATTGAACACTCCTGTCACTCGGGGAGCACGCGCTCTGTCCCCACCGTCAACCCCTGCTCCCCGTTCACGGAGGTGGGCTGAGCCCCACTCTGGGTCAGGGGCTTCGTAATCTTCCTGCCTGGTCTTTGGCAAGAAAGCTCATTGTTTCTTTAAGTTTACTTTCCTGCTATCTTGGTAAAATGCTTCATTTAGCAGGCACTTGTAGTGACAGTTAAGAGAATCTAAAACCTGTAAGCTTATAGAAGAGGCATGCTGGGAAGAGCTGGGGTCAGGAACTTCTCCCACTCCGCTCACACAACACGTGAAGTAAGCGCTCCCCACCGTACGTACTTTGCTGCCCCACCCAAACGATGTTATTTCCAGTTAAGTTTGGTGCCTGTTCTCACACGTTGTGTTCACTTTTGGTTCACCTTCCACCTAGTCTGGTAACGCGAGAATTAGTGCATCATCCCTTGTAATGAGCAAGCCTGTGTCTTGGCAGCCTCTCCCAGCAGGAAACAGTCATACTTGACATTGCATTGGAATCAATTTGTGGTTCCAGTTGGTGTGTGTATGTGCATTAAGCATTTCATATGTACAGTGTGGCCTTTCTTGATGTGGCTGTCATAGCAGTGTTGTTGATCGGTGGTTAACCTTACTGCAGGTGAAAAATACGGCTGTTACTTTTGTCCTTGTCGTGGAGTTATGAGAAAGTGGCCTTGTCTTCTTTCAGTCTTAGTTCTTTCAACATGAATATATTCTACTTAAAAATTTGTTTTGCTTCTTTGTATATGATTTGCCTTGGATTTACTGTACACAGTTTATTTCTGTGTTTTCATGTATTATCAGGAGCAGATTTGATAAGTACATGTGAATAACCTCCTGTAAATGAGTTTTATAAAAAAAATTGTACTATACTATTTTCTAAAGTTAGTTGTGCAGACTGATAATTTCTTTGCTGTAGTTTTGATTCTTTCTATGCTCTGAATTCCTAGCTGGGATTTGGCAAGCAGTAGCCCTGTTGTCTTTGTTAAAACCTGAATATTAAGAGAAAATGGCAGAATTAAAAGTGGAAACAAGAAAACTGACGTGGGTTAGGAGTTATGTGTTTTTGAATGAAGGTTCAAGGTACTTCCCAGCTACTCCATTTAGTCTGCCATTAGATTTATTTTATGCCGAAATTATCTGGTGAGGATTTGTTTTATTCAGGTTTCTCATCCAGTCTGCACCCCCAGCTCTCCTTGCTTCTCAGTTCTTCTTGGAATCTTACCCGTAAGGTTGCAGCGTGCACTGTGGCTAGTTGTGGTGTCAGTTACACGTTGACGTTTGGTCCAGAAACGCACGCTCACCTCCAGGCTAAGATTGGGGAGCGGGTGAGAGAGGAGGGGCAGATGAACAGTGACCCACGAAAGGAGCTCCCAGGGCACCGATGGGGGCGCAGGGAATAGATGGCCAAGTTAGGGGTCACCACTGATGGTTACAAAAGTACAACTCGTTTTATAAAAGCAGTGGCTTCAGGGGGCGGTCAGATGTGCTGTGCTCCGCCAGGACGTGGGCAGCGCCAGCTTCGCTGGGCCTCCCGCTTATTCCAGATGGAGGCACCAACCACCCACGAGGGTAAAGTGACGTACGTGTTCTGGGGCGAGATGAACTTGCCAAGTGACCTGATGAGAGGTGAGTGCTCTGCGATGGCCATTTTACTTATAGAATTCGTTACTGCAGCAGCTGTAGCAGTGATTTTTAAAGTCCCTCCTGACCAACACACGCGCTGTCACCACCATCTCCTGGGTTTCGCCATTTATTGTTTGAGGAATAAATAATTCGGGGAGGAAACTGAAATTTACCTTGAGCTTAAATAGAATTTCCAATGTTTTGCAGCACCGTGAAGGCGGGTTCTGTACACAGGGGATCCCTCCATAACTCTTAAAGGACCTGAGTTATCATCACCCCGTCCTGCTGTACAGAAGGCATTTGCCAAGTCAAATGGCGTAAATGGTGTCTGCAGTTGGACAGTGCTCGGAACCACGGGCGCTGCCTTTGTGCTCTCTTCGTTAGAGCTTGGGCCCAGCCGTGCTGGTGGACACTGTTGCCTTTGGTCTAAGCAGCATTGCTGCAAATCGAATTGTTAGTAGTTTTCAGCCTGGGAGGTGCACTTTGGAGTCACCTGGGGGAACTTCTGAAAAATTCCCACTCCCGGGCCCTACTCTAGAATTCCTGATTTCATGGGTCTGGGGGCAAGTACTTATCGCCTTTTTCTTTTTTAAACTTAAGCTTAAACTCACTCTCAGGTGTTTCCGTCGAGTGGCCAGCCTTGCGGCCTGGCTCCTAAGGGTTCAGGAGGAAAGGGGAGCAGCCTTGGGGCCCATCGGGGTCACGTCTGCCTTCCGCAGTAATGGTCCCCCCCCACAGGGGCCCCGAGCAGGGTGAGGCCCACCACCAAAAGCCATCTGGCCATCTCTGCTTTTGTTCAGAAGGAGATTCCCAAGGGCTGCACAGTGGGGCTGGGGAAGGAGGTCTGGGAATATATCCAGAGAAAACCATAATTCGAAAAGATACGTGCACCCTGATGTTCATTGCAGCGCTATTTACGATAGCCAAGACATGGAAGCAACCTAAATGTCCATCCCCAGAGGAATGGATAAAGAAGATGTGGTACATATATACAATGGATTACTCGGCCATAAAAAAAGAATGAAATAATGCCATTTGCAGCAACATGCATGGACTTAGAGATGGTCATACTGAGTGAAGTAAGT